CCTTTTTTGCTGAGCGTGCCCAAAACTGCATGCCAAGTAACCGTGCGAATCGATGATTTCAAAATACATAAAAATGTGTCAAAATTCCTGTGCCTGCTTTATGTTACAACTAAGATAATTATGAATACTGGTGAAAAGTTAGATACAGCAGCAGGACTTAATAGAATCGGAGTGAGCAGAGAGCAGCAAGGATCAGCCGCAAATTGCCATCATCATTCTTGAAAGCTGCTACCTTTTGTCCGGCTTTCTACTCGCCTGTCCGGGACTTATGAGAAAGGCCAAAATGTCATGTACAACAGATAAAAAGGACACGAACAGGGCAGGGACAGGGACAGGGACACGGAGGCTAATGACACAAAGAAAACAACGACAGCGGAAAACAACGGAAAAGGATATTACAAAAAATTTGTTGCACGCAAAGAAATATTAACAAAGCCTATGCATATTAAATATGTTTTACCTAAATGTGGTAGCTTAACCAATTTAAATGTTCAGAAATAAATTAAAGAAAATTAAAATATCCTTTTACCTTCAACTATTATAAAAGTATTATCGGTCCTGCTATGGTTTATCCTTATTTACATTCTCATCGAATTAGTTTCTTGACCATTGTTAAATCTTCATTTTGATGCTTGTTTTTTCGTCCTCTTTACTCGTCGTTATCCTTTCAATATTATCTTATTTACTCGTCTCTCTGGTTACATGCATTCTCGTTATTCTAACACGACATCCTTATTCATCATCTCATCCAGGTATTAATGATATTAAACCCATTATCAATTCCCAGTTAAGTTGTTCTCAGTGTAGATTAAGCAAGGGGGTGCGAGCCCAGAAAAGGGTTATATAGCTCAGTTCCATCCAAACTCGCCACGCTCCACACCCCCCTTATCTTTACGGTCTAGGCCATTATTGTGCAGGCTTTATTGTTTTTTTGGTTTTTGTGCTTTTGCCTTCTTACTCATTTCGTTTGTTTGTTTTTTTTGTTTTGTTTTTGCTCCTTTAGCTTCGCCTTTTGTTGAATTGAAACAATTTGTCACTTTTTGGCCAAGTGCCTGTGGCGGGTTTTTGTTCAGCAGTGCGAGAGGTAGCCGATCCCCTGAGTAAATCCACCGCCACCCCATTGTTCGTTCTCCTTTGTAGTTAATGAAATAAATGAAGAGCAAAACGCAGATGGGCGCACCAAAGTATACATAATATTTCTGACAGTGTTTTATTGCAAATTGCCAACTTGTGTTGGAGCTTCGAGAATTACGTCTTCCCTGATAGGCCATGGAGGTAAAGGCCATTAAAAGGATATTGGAGTTGGAGCATTTCCTGAATGAATTGTAGAATATAACAGTAATACAGTGTAACTTATTCAACATTTATTTATTAGCCTTTCAATTATAATTGTATGTACTATTTAATGTTGATTAATATTATTTACTCAATTACAGCACAAATGTCCGAAAGAGTAATTACACTCAAAACACATGTTTTATACACTTTATTAAGTATTCTTTCAGCCGCACAATCACTGATAATATAACTCTATATATACAATGAAACTCATTTCATTAGCTCACCGCACTTGCCCCACGTGTACGAACACCAATAAAATAATATAATAAAATTGAACCAGAGGAGGAGAAATCTGTTAGATTGTTAAATTTCATTGAATTGCCGTTTCATTTGCATAAGTTTCGGATTGAACATTACATTACATTAAATTAATGCCATGCGGCCACTTAGAGCGAATGAAATAAAATCAATTGAAATTGTTCACACAAGCAGTAAGACAAAAATAAAATAAAAATCAGGAAAAAGGAAGCTGGAAAAATACAAATACAGGGTTAAAAAAAAAAACGATTTCATTTGGCTAACGGTCAGGCTTCGGCTTACCGGGAAATCCAAACAAATAAATAAGATTAGAGTGGACAATGGGGGCAGGGGTGTACGTACATACATACTTAACCCCAGATGGAAGGAGACGCTTTATCATAAGCCAGGGACTCAAGGTCCACACTGGCCGTTTGATCTGCTGCAGCGTTTTGTCCCAGCATCGCACCACCCTCTGGCCACCTGCACCACCACCTGGTGGCTTCGGACCTTGCTTTGAACTTTGCCCAATGGTTACCGAATCGGCCTAAATGTCTAAACAGGAAATCAATTCTCAACCGCCTTTTGTGCACACAGCCCCTCCGCACACCAAGCCACATCCCACATCAGTCTGTCCACTTTTCTGAAGCAGGTCCTTTGGATTTGATCCTGCGATGTGCTTGGACAGAGCCTAGCAAATGTTTTCCCACTGCCCGAGAACTGAAGGCTGTAGGCAGAAATGCAGTGAACAGTATTTTCTTTCTACGAGATTTATTCCAATTATTATTAGATTCCAGGATTATTTAAATAAATTCAGTGGAAATGTTGGAAACCATTCTAATTTCCTTTCCCCTTAAAGTTAACCTTACACACACGTTCAAGTCAGTGTGTCTGTCTGTCGGAATTAAGGATTCTCTTGAAGTTCATTGTGCCCGGAGATCCTTCAGACGCTTCTGGCTCAGTTGATGCACTGCTCTGGTGTGCATATTGTTGGCTGCTCATGTCCGGGCATGCTTGAAATGCAACATTTCGCAGGAAAGCAGCGGAAAGCCTTTTATATGCCCGGCCAACTTCCGGCCTATAGAAAACTAAACTCTGTTACCGCAGTTGTTGTCCTTGTGGTTGTTATTTTTTTCCTCCTCTTTCAAGTGCTGGCAGGTGAACAATGGGTGTGCCTGTGCATATGCTATATATTGTTGCATTTTTTCCAAGTTGTTGAGTCAAGCGGCAATAAAGTGTTGCCTACTTGCAGGCGGAGCGTCCTTAAACTTGGCAAATTACTTTAAGGAGTCTCCCTCTATTACTTTCCTTTAAAAAGAAAACCCCTAAGATAAGCCGAACACGAAAGTAATTCAATGGTAAGAGAACCAGTAAGAGAACGAACCGAGATGAGACACAGGTTAATGGATTTCTCTTGTGATATTTGACTTGACCCAGACCCAGAGCAATTCTGTATTATCCGTAGACATCTCATTTTATTTTTTATTTTTATTTATTTATTTATTTTTTATTTTTTCCTTCTTTATGCGCGCCGTGAATTTTTCAAGTGAAAAGTTTACATTTATTATCAAGAAACGGCGGGGTTTGGGTCCACCGGAAAGAAGGGGGCGTAGGCTCAACCTGTCCTTCAAGGGACAACAAACAACACATTACGTTTAATTGAATGTTGCGGTTGTGTCGCCAGAGCCGACTCTTTCTTCGTCCTTTTGTCGTGAGCCTTCTTCGTTTTCATGCTTTTATCATTTCTCTATCTCTATCTCACTCTGGGTACACTAGGAAAAATAGTTCGAATTCCGGAATTGTACATGGAAAAGGGTAAAACTATTTAATGCAAAAGTATACAAAGATATCTTGCCAATCTGGAACGTAAAAACATATATTATTGCAAACTTGTAGACATCTTTTGAATTGATTTTAAAATTTTAAACAAAAACGTTTAACAATTTAAAAAAAGTCTTCAACTTTTAATTTATTTAAAATATTAAAACATTGCCAACACTGAAAAATTCCATACAATATTTACAACCTTTTCCTTCGAGTGAACATGTGAGTGGGACACGAGTCGCGCAAGAAAAGAACGAGAATTATAATGTAGTGTAAATATTTAATGATGATGTGGCTTTAGATTACGTTGCCGTCACGTGGTTGCTGTTAAACGTGCTCCCCGAGCTCCCTTTGCATCCTTAAACTGGGGGAGAAATCTTGACCTGGACTCTCCTCCCGGCCAATTCAATGAGCTGGAAAAGTCGCTGCCTGCAGGACAAATTTCCTCGCGTAGGCACAGGACAACCGGAGGCGTAAATTCTTGAGCGCTGGCCACTGAACTGCAAAAAGGCGGCCGACTGCTGATATGCATACAAAAAACAAAAGCAAATGGAAATAAACCAGAGATATGCCATTTATATGGTACAATTTAATGGGCGTAAATAAAGAAAAATAACAATACAACTACAAAAGGACTCTTATTATTGATGCACGTAAAGTGGGCTTTAGCCGCTCTAACAAGAGAATTACATTTAGGAAAAGATAGCTCAAATGTAATCTTCGTCTGGCAGTAAAAAATCATATTAGCTATTTATGTTTATATTTCTCTACAGCTCAGCTTGTCTTATTTATTAAGAATTTTGCATATGTAGTTACATATATATTTATTGTTTAGATTTGACAAACAAATAAGTACATAATATTATCTCTATTGATTTACCTGGCTTATGGGAATGAATAATTTTCAATATTTTTTCTATACTTATTAAATAATTTAATTAATTATTTTGTTAACCTAATGAAAACTAGCATTTAAATGCTGTCCCTATTAAAATTACTAAATTGTTGGCTTAGCTATGATAATTTGCATGAGGAAGCCGCAAAGGTTTACAAACTTTCGTGCCGAAGTTAGCTTGTATTATAGATAATAAAAAACTTCATTAGGTATATACAATTAAACATCAGTGGTAAACAAACTAAACACAACATCATTTTTGTTATGTTCTTTTCTCTGAATATTAATAAATTAAATTTAAAATGCAGCATTCTATTATTGAAATCTGAAAATTGATTCCAAGTTTTGAAAATTACCGCCCTTAGACAATGGCGACCTCTGTCGGCAGTTAGAGGAAGTTGGCCTTCAAAAGTGCTGCCCATCAGTGTCCTAAATGCGCAAAGTTTCATTCTGCTAGCTTGAAAATTAAAGACGGGCAGGTTGAAAGATTGACTAGGCTGTTAAAGCTGATAAAAAAATATATGTTACAAATTACAATATAAGGGAAATTCAATATATTTTTTTGATTTATAATTTTAATTAAAATAAGTTAAAATTGTTGTAAATTTACCGGGCCGTACAGCAACGATTGAAAGTGTGACCAAATCATAAAGAAGGAGAAAGGCAACCATAGTGGATTTTATACAGCGCCCTAAAACAGACACACATATTTCGGTCACACTTCGTTGCTTTTTCACTCAAACGCGTGTGCGTCAGCAAAACTTTCTATTTTAACTAGAACAATATACAATTAAACTAGTTTTTAATAACAAGTAGTAGCATGGGCGGACACAACGACAACCAAAACGGAAACTCCAACGGCCACGATGACGTAAGTAGAAAGAAGTAAACTGAGGTTGAAAATTCGCTATGGTGGCCCCGGGTGTCTCACCGGTCGCCATTTTGAAAATTACGCATGTGTCTCGCTTGGCTATAGTGAGGTTAGGTTTAGAGTCACTGATGAAAATCAATATTTTCTGTTTCCCCTCAGGATTCCATCACCGAGCCGGAGCATATGCGCAAACTGTTTATTGGTGGCCTGGACTACCGCACTACAGACGAGAATCTGAAGGCGCACTTTGAGAAATGGGGCAATATCGTGGATGTGGTGGTTATGAAGGATCCGCGCACAAAGCGTTCTCGCGGTTTCGGCTTCATCACCTACTCTCACTCGAGCATGATTGATGAGGCTCAGAAGTCGCGTCCGCACAAAATTGATGGCCGCGTGGTGGAGCCCAAGAGGGCTGTGCCCCGCCAAGAGATTGACTCGCCCAATGCCGGAGCCACCGTAAAGAAACTGTTTGTGGGAGCCCTTAAGGACGACCATGACGAGCAGAGCATACGCGACTATTTCCAGCACTTTGGAAACATTGTGGACATCAACATCGTGATGGACAAGGAGACAGGCAAGAAGCGCGGGTTCGCCTTCGTGGAGTTCGATGACTACGATCCCGTGGACAAAGTTGTGTGTAAGTAGTGGGATTGGGATTTATTGTAAGTTATGGATACCCTGTGTATACACAGTCCCAGCTCCGCACAGCGATGCTTGATGTGCTCGTGCGGCGTTTGCGACTGTCAGAGTAACCCGGCTTGTATTATATCTTTGTTGGCTAGTCACCCCGCATGTATTGCCGATGAAAAGGTATGTGCCACAGTGGCCTCCGGCTAAAACAACCCCTGTACCTTCACACACAGTACTGACAAATTGCGGGGCATCATTCCCAGGCCCCAGCAGTTTCCCTTAAAATGCTGTGAGATGAATGAAAGCGTCGGCTTACGCTATGTTATGCGAATGTATTTAAAATCCAATTCAGTGTAACACGCAGCCTCGTTACAAGGTCAAAATCAGAACATTTAATCAAGATCCACAGTCCCAGCTCCGCATAGCAATGCTCGATGTGCTCATGCGGCGTTTGTGACTGTAAGATGAAATCCCAGCCAGTATTATATCATTGTTGTTGGTGCTCCTGTTGTGCTCCAACGATGAAAAAGTATATGGCACACTATCTTTCTGGATAGGTCAATCGAACACGAACCCTTTTGCTACCTTCACAGTACTGACAAATTGAGAGGCTTGATCCCCATGCCTGGTTAGTTTTCCTTAAAATGCTGTGAGATGAATTAGAGCGTCGGCTTACGCTATGTTATGCGAATGTATAATTAAAATCCAATTCAGTGTAACACGCAGCCTCGTTACAATTGCAAATACAATCCGGTAGTTATGCGAAGTTGCCTTAAGACCAGAACGAGCGTATTGTATATATATAAATATAAATTTTAACAGATATCTTCAGTTTGAAATCAATTAAAATTACGTTCCACAGTCCCAGCTCCGCATAGCAATGCTCGATGTGCTCATGCGGCGTTTGCGACTGTAAGATGAAATCCCAGCCAGTATTATATCATTGTTGTTGGTGCTCCTGCTGTGCTCCAACGATGAAAAAGTATATGGCACACTATACTTCTGGATAGGTTAATCTGACAAAGAAAGGTCTGCTTTCACAGTACTGACAAATTGACGGGCTTGATCCCCATGCCTGGTTAGTTTTCCTTAAAATGCTGTGAGATGAATTAGAGCGTCGGCTTACGCTATGTTATGCGAATGTATAATTAAAAACCAATTCAGTGTAACACGCAGCCTCGTTACAAATGCATATTGAGTAAATTCTATTAGGGTCCACAGTCCCAGCTCCGCACAGCGATGCTTGATGCGCTTGTGCGGCGTTTGTGACTGTAAGATGAAATCCCAGCCAGTATTATATCGTTGTTGTTGGTGCTGCTCTTGTGCACCAACGATGAAAGAGTATTTGGCACACTGCTATCTCGACGTACGCCTCCGGGGCTAATTAATTTAATTCTGGGCCTAATAATTGAGTTTATTTTTTCCTCTTTTTGCAGTGCAAAAGCAACATCAGCTTAATGGCAAAATGGTTGACGTGAAGAAGGCCTTGCCCAAGCAGAATGACATGCAGGGAGGCGGCGGCGGTGGTGGACGCGGTCAGGGTGGCCGTCCCGGTGGCAATCGTGGCAATATGGGCGGTGGTGGCGGTCAGTATGGCAACCAGAATGGAGGTGGCAACTGGGTAAGTACTGTCAGATGACCTTTCAAACGAAAAGATTTTAATACGGTCTCTGGTCACTTGACGTTGCAGAATGGCGGTGGCAATTGGGGAAATAACCGTGGGGGCAACGACAACTGGGGCAACAACAGCTTTGGCGGTGGCGGCGGCGGCTATGGCGGTGGTAACAACAGCTGGGGCAACAACATGGGTCCCTGGGATAATGGCAATGGCGGTGGCAACTTCGGCGGTGGCTCCAACTGGAACGGCGGTGGCAATGACTTTGGTGGCTACCAGCAGAGCTACGGCGGCGGACCGCAGCGTGGCGGTGGAAACTTTAACAACAACCGCATGCAGCCATACCAGGGAGGAGGCGGTAACTACAACAAAGCAGGTAAGTGACAGCAGTCGCAACAGCAAATAATCTATGAACAGCTCCAAGATAACGAGACACAGTACCCTGACACTTAACTGTTAGAACGTAGATAAAACCTTAACGCTGGCCAACGCTTTTTTAAGCGTATGAAAGATCGTGCCCAAGTACGTCTTGATGTGCAGCCAAAGTTATAATAGCCAGCCATTAGAATCCACTAGTGTGGACTTAGTGATTAGTAGAAAGAAAGTGGATTTGTTCTAAACGATCCTGATTTTTTTTTAGGCGGTGGCAACCAAGGCAACTATGGCGGCAACAATCAGGGCTTCAATAACAGTGGCAACAACCGCAGATATTGAGACAGAGAGAGAGAGTGATGAGATACCAGACGAGGTGAGACATTACCATAACCACCATAAATTACCTTAGTTAAGGACCCAAGGCGAAGGCAGACTACTTAACCAAACACTAATCCAACCCTGTATGACCATTAATTAACCCTTTTTGATTTGAAAACATTTTTGTTAATTTTTTTTATGAACTAGCGCCCTTATCGGCAGTTCCTTTGTAGTAGTTTGTAACAGCATCTCTGGGACTGAAAAGCAAACATGGCTAAGACAGTCCGACCCACCCTACTCAACAACAACAACAACAACTACAACCCTAATTAAACCTTACGTATTTAGTTTCTAAACATATTTAGAGAACAAACCTACAACCAACCAACCAATTAAGAATCCCCCTTTTTGCATACCAATTGTTTTTAAATAACGTTTCTCATTTATCGACATTTTATAGGTGATAATGTAAAAGTCGCTCAGTATAAGCCCAAATATCAAAGTCAAGTAAACGATACGCAATTCAATGATCAATAACGAGTATGAACGCACGTTCATAGACATAAGAAGTTTTCCGAGCACCACAAAACCATACCAAACATGACAGAGAAGAGGGAGTGAATCAGGATCAGTGCAGTGCAGTCGTGGTTCAGACTTGGAGTAGAACAGAGAACAGAGAGGGAGATCAGTACCAAAACCAAGCCAGACCAGACCATACCAGTGCAGTCCAGTACAGTACAGAGCAGTGTGTGTGTGTGAGATAAGCAGACTACTAACAGATCGTTCAGAGACAGAGAGAGATCTCAGATCGCACACAGCTAGCAGCGAGCAGCAAGCAAGCAGTACACGTACACAGCAACAGCAGCTGGCCAGGATTCCATTCGATTTGTGTTTGCACATGGTGATTGATTGTTAAGGCGCATCGAAACTCTATATCCAGTATCCATAGAATTGTTAATTTAATTTCACATGATTGTAGCAACCGAGCAACTTAAGTAACATTGTAATTTGCGATAAAGCCCAAAAGCTAAACATTTGTATTTCCACACCAACCACCCCAAGCCATAAATGAATCAGTTGTATGTATAATTTCAAAGCGGCAGCCGAGAGACAAGTTTAATTTGATTGTAGAAAGCAGCTCCAGTCCGGAGGCCGCTGGTAATTTTCTGATAATCAATGCGCAGAACCACACAATTTATATAAAAAAAGAAACATGTATTACTTATTACGACTTTCAACTAGAATAAGTTCTCATAATTTTAAATCGAGTAGAGCGTTGCGGCCATTTTCAGCTGCCGCACGCTGCCCTAGACTTAATATTTACAATTCAAGTTCCAAGCGAACCTTGACCGTGTGTGTGGAGTTACTTACTTCCGACACGGAACTAACTTCTTATACCCGCTGTCTTAGATTTAACGAAACACCACTTAATGTAATCTTTACCTTTTAGCAATCAGTCTGTACACGCAGTTGTCTGAGGTCAGTCAGCGTAATTATATATATTTAACAAAATTTACATTTTAATGTAGCGAAAAATACAAGATTCAAAACATACACAACCCGAGTGTTGTTGCTATCAATTTGATCCCAAAATCTATGTAGTCACAGCCCTGTAGTTTTGTAATTGTAGCAGCAGCATCAACAAAAGCAGAAGCAGGAGGAGCGATCAGGCAAAAGGATTAAAGGAGGCAAGTAGCAGAGGCAAGTAGCCAGCAGCCAGCAAGTAGGACGTAGTCCAAAAGCCAGCCAAAAGCAATTGTGTTTTGTTCCCATCGTAGCAATTATTATGGGCGGGACTATCTTGTTACTCCCTTTTAAAGCCGGTCAACAGGTTTTGTTTCCCCCCGATTATTTGAATTTAATTGAATTGCCCAACACCAACCTGTACGCCCCTATCACATTTACCACAAACGTATATATTATTGTAATTTCCGTTGCAAGTCGGCTGTGAAAAGTATGCGATGCGATGAGAGAGAGAGAGAGTAGCTACTACTTACGCAGCCACGGACCTCAGCTCCGCACTTGCAACACACAGCACCTGGCCGGTGGGACTCGACGGTTCTTCGGTCCAGTCCTCCAGTCTCTCTGAAGGGGGTAAGTAGAGCACACAACTTTGGCCATTGTTGTCATTTCCAGGTGGTGATCAACGCGCGTTCATGGAGCCCCGAAGTGCAGCGGTTATCGGTTACCCACCAAAACCGTTGAAATATACACCTAACTTTTTTCTTTATTTATTTTAACTTGATTTTCTTTACCGATTTTAATAAAAAGAATGAAGAGAAATTTAAAAACGTTTAATAACTGCGTTTTGGGTCTTTGTTTTAAAATTCAAAAGGCGCGCCAGTGTGTACACACAAGCCCGGCACTTGTTTCCATATTCCGTTGTGTAGGTGGAGCTAGTGGAATTATGGAATTTAAACTAGCGCGGGATCTTTAAAATATTTTTATTTAAAGAACACAATTACTATAAAAAATATAAACATTTAAAATATTTAGTTAACTTGATATACATATGTTAAAAAAAATGTATTTTAAATAATGTACAATAATCATTTCTTGTTAATTATTAAGGATATTTATGGGGATATGGAATTTATTACTTTTTTCAACATAAGCCCGCAAAATAAGAAATATTTGCTTTTTTAAACTCGATCGGTCGATATATGATTGTTTTATTTTTTTCGAAAATTAACCTGAACTAAGTTCAAAAATAGTTTGTTTCAAATCGGAAGATTTTCCGTGTCAATTTTTATTGAGTTTACATCCTTTTTAAATTAATTTTTACAATTTTAACGATGTAGCCCCTTACAAAATTTTGAAAAATGGATATAATTTATATATATAGCAGCGGGTAGGTCTAGAAGAACTTGGCTTTTAATGCTGATCAAGAATATATATAATTTAAGGGTCTAAAATGAATCCTTAATGCGTTGTAGGCTTTAGACTAAAATTAAAATACCCTGTCTAAAGTTCTATATAACCTTAGTATGTAATATATCACTATCATTATGTTGGCTTAGTAAAATCAGTTCCAACAGAGCGTAATTAATATTTGTGGTCTTCTTGTACGTGTCTAATAATTTGAATCCCTTAATATAGTAATTGTATACTTTTCACCTTGCTAAGAAACAAAAATTAAAATAATTGGAAAATTCTACTAACTGCTGGTGGTCAAGGCAAGTCTACAGAACTCAGGTTTGTCTTCTAACGACGCTCGACCGTGGTCGAGGATGCCTAAGAATATGGCCTCCGTGGTCTAACCCCAACCTTAGTAGGTCAGCTTACCTGGTTCATTGATAAATTAAGCATTCCAACCCACGGCCCAGTTTTTGGGTTTGGGTTACGTCGGTGGTGCTGCGCAAAAAGGTCAGTACATCGAGGGCAGAGCTCAGCGGAAAAGTATTGCCGAGATCAGCGGAATCCGATGGCAGCCGGGGGAGTTTATTTATACTGGGGTCGTCGTAGTGCTCCGGCCAGTATTGGAGCCAGCGAGCAACTGGCAGGTCTCCGGTCTTTCCCATCCGAATCTCAAACTCTGGACTAAAGCTTACAAAATGTGGTATCTGCGCGTGGCTGTGGTGCTGTTGGGACTGGCGGTGGTGTGCCGGGCGGACACCCTGGTCCAACTGAATGTGAATCGTCCCTACAACGATGTGAACGAGAAGTTTGTTAGTTTTGCCGTTCGTCCAGAGGATCTGTACGATGCCCTGGATGGAAAGAATCGCAAAGCCGTGACCAACTTGGCCAATCTGCTGGGGGATGCACACATTAAGTTCATTGGCGATTTCTACTTTGCCAGCAATGCACCGACAAGACTGCGGAATCCCACAAAGATTATCTGGAAGGGCTTCAATCGCTGGACGCGGTAAGTCAAGGAATTCCGGTTCTTCTACCCTGCATCCCTTCTCATCTAAAGTTTCCTCTTCAAAGTGCCGTCAACTGGACCATGATCATCCCGGTGCCATATGCCCCGACGAGTGGGACTCAATGCATACGCTGAAGATTCTGAATACCTCCTACATGGTGGGCATCACCGACTGCATCTGGCAGCTGGGCACAGACTTTGGCACCTCGAGGGCCAAGGATTATGTACAGGAGCTGCGCACCCTTAAGCTGATGACGGATACCTTCAAGCCATATGTGGACGACTGGCGGCTAATGGGAGCCGATATTTCGGCTGGTAGCAGTGCGGATGAAACAAAGAGATATGTGGATATATCCAAGGATCTGAATACAGCCTTTGGCTGGACGCAGTAAGTGCTTTTAGGGATACTTCCCATAATAGAGGTCTTTCTTTAACTTTTAATTATTTGCCAGACCTGTCAACATGCTGCCCAAGTCGAGTCTGGGCAGTTACCTATACGACAGCGACCCCGCTCTGCGAGTCCTGCAGCAGCAGGCTGTGCCCCTGTGGCTGTCTTTGCCTGAAGAGCGATCCTCGCAACGACTGGTGGGCGACGAGACCACGGATGCCCTGCGCTGGGCCCAGACCCTGGGAGATGCGGCCAGCAGTGGCTTTGATGTGCTCTTCAAGCGGATGACCCTGGAGGACTTTGAGCGCCCCAACTTCAGTATGTATGTGACGGCCGTATTCAAGAAGGTTATGGGCTCAAGGGTGTTCCCCGCACGCCCTCTCAATGTCTTCGCTCCGAGCAATAAACTATACACACACTGTGCCAATGCCGTATCCGGTGGCCTGGCCTTTATGGTGGTCAACACGGAGGAGCAACCCACCACGATTACGGTGCGAAGTGCCAGTAGCCTGAGCAGCAGCGAGATCTGGCAGTTTGTGCTCACCGGACTGGACCAGAGGGTGCAGTTGAACAATGTCCGATTGCATGTCAACTCCACACTGCCGCCCTTGATCAAGGCCCATGATGCGAGCAAGCCACTCCAGTTGATCACTCCCAGCATGTCGGTGGGCTTCTGGGTTCTGCCAGACGTTAATCTGGAGCACTGCCAGTTCACTGAGGTTGAGGCGGGCGATTCGAGCGGTGAATCCTCCACGGATAAGCGGCGTTCCCGCTACAGTTCTGCGGATCGTTTGCTTCAGCGTTTGATCGAGGAGACAGCCGTGGCTAGAGGATCGGTTCAGAGTTCGATCAACCGGAATCGACGCTTTGTTCCGGATAAGGAGGAAAGCCTGGATGCACTCCTAGAGCGTCTGCTTCAGCACTTCAAGGAAGCAAATCCCTCAAAGAGGGAAACGGAGGATGGCAAGTCTCAATCGGTGAAGCCCCATGAAGCAATGGCCTGGTTGCATCATGTCCTCAAGGAAACCAGCGACATGAGCCAGAAGCGAGCCAGGCGAGACACTTCCAGCTACTCTGGCCCCTTCTTCTACAACCGAAATGGCAAGAAAACAGCTTTGACCAAGAAGATCACGGAGATACGTAAACCGGAAAGGAAGAGCAAGCCCCTGTTTGATTTTGACGAGTTCGATGAGGAAAAGTTCTTTAAGCGACTGGGAGAACAGCCCGAAGAGCCACCCACCTATACCCGCCTCCCAGAGGGTGATGTCCACCTGAAGCATATAGAGAGTGTGGATGGCGAAGACACTGAGCAGGAAGCTGAGCCCGTAGTGCCTAAGAAGCGTAAGTCCAAGGCCAAGAGTCAGCTGAAGATTATTCAAATGCCAGCGGAAAGGGATGACGAACAGGAGCCGGAACAGGAACAGGAGCCAAGTGAGGGTCGTGGCAAGCTGCGTCTTTTGCCCACAGAGTTCTTCGAGGCGCTGCCTGCTCCAAGGCCGAACAAGAGATTGAATCTAGGAGCCACCTTAAACTCCCTGCTCTTTCCTGAACCCTTTTCCAGCAAGGCAACCATGGCGAAGAGTGGTCCAGCCAAATCGAAACCCATGGAAGAGGCCGAAGAGGATGTGGAACCCGTGCCAACTGCCAGAAGGCGTCACTCCAAACTAGGTCATGTGGCCAATGATTTTCTGCAGGCACAAAAGGAGTTGGGCAAGCACTTCCTCAGCCACATCAGCGAGCATGAGCACGAGTTCTCCCTGGGTGATGAAGCTATCCGAGAGGCATCTTTGGATTCTAGCAATTCGGCAAAAACAACACCCGGCTTGAACATATTTGGAGCCAAGGAAGGAACGTCTTCTTTGCCGAAAAAATTACCAGAGAAGCCTGCCGATGAGGGGATCACCTCTTGGTGGGATCTGCCAGCAATGAGAAGACGTCGAGCTGTTCCCCTGACCAATTCATTGGAGCAAATGCGATCGAATGCGATCGATAAGGCAGATGGCGATGAAATGCTGCCTCTGGGAAGGTACTCCTTCTACGAGTACAAAGTGGATGGTGCTGAACAGAAGGACTCAACCCAGCAGAAGGAAGAAACAGAGTCCAAGATTATGAAGATTAGCAGGAACACACCGACCACAAACAAGGATCACACTATTACGTCTCTATCTAAAAGCCTTGTAAGCACCGTTAAAACCAAGGTCTCTCGCTTCATCAACATCATCTCCAGCCACATGAACGAGTGGTATAACACCTTAACCAAGCACCTGGACACGAACATGGAATACCAAAAAACCCGCCTGCAAAACACCATCGAAAAGTAGGAATATTTTCAAATAAAACCTTATCGAAATTACAAGAATCTATTGTAAAAATGTGTTTATGTACAATAAAATATTGATTGCATTTAAAAGTATCTTATTTGTGTGATAATTCTCGGGGAATTATCTCTCTCAAATGAAAAACGCAGGACATAGGCAACAAACTAGATCGGCTTAGAATAAGCTTTTGCTAGAATGTTAAGCTTAATATATTGTACTAATTATATATGCTTATAAAAGAAAATAAATTTAAAAAATGTGTTTGTCCACTAGACACGGATAGATCGATTCAGCTGTTCATTCCGATCAAGAATATATATGATTTATAGGGTCGGAAATGATTCCTTCGATGTGTTATAAGCTTCTGATTAATACTAATACACTGCAAAAAGGTATAAAAACAGACAATTTTTTTTAATAATCGGTGTTTTTCGAACATCATAATTAAGCCAAAAATTCATCAATTTCAATTCGGAAAGCTGTTATGTGCTAATTTTTATAGCGCTAACAAATAAACATACTGCGTTTGTTGATGCTGTTAAAAGCTTCTGATTAAAATTATAATTGTCAGAAAAGAGGTATAAAAACAGACAATTTTTTTTAATAATCGGTGTTTTTCGAACATCATAATTAAGCCAAAAATTCATCAATTTCAATTCGGAAAGCTGTTCTGTGTTCTGTGTTAAAACATTCAGTTTTTGGTCGAATTTTGCGAATTTTAACGATGTAACCCCTTATCATTTTTACAATTTTCGAAAAAAATGCAAAAATGTGTTTGTCCACTAGACACGGATAGATCGATTCAGCTGTTCATTCCGATCAAGAATATATATGATTTATAGGGTCGGCAATGATTCCTTCAATGTGTTATAAGCTTCTGATTAATACTAATACACTGCAAAAAGGTATAAAAACAGACAATTTTTTTTAATAATCGGTGTTTTTCGAACATCATAATTAAGCCAAAAATGCATTAAATACAAATCGGAAAGCTGTTATGTGCTAATTTTTATAGCGCTAACAAATAAACATACTGCGTTTGTTGATGCTGTTAAAAGCTTCTGATTAAAATTATAATTGTCAGAAAAGAAGTATAAAAACCTGCAATTTTTTAAAATAATCAGTATTTTTCAAACATCATAATTAAGCCAAAAATGCATCAATTTCAATTCGGAAAGCTGTTCTGTGTTATTTTTTAAAGCGCTAACACATCTGCATACCACGTTTTGAAATTTAAAACATTCAGTTTTTAGTCGAATTTTGCGAATTTTAACGATGTAACCCCTTATCATTTTTACAATTTTCGAAAAAAATGCAAAAATGTGTTTGGCCACTAGACACGGATAGATCGATTCAGCTGTTCATTCCGATCAAGAATATATATGATTTATAGGTCGGAAATGATTCCTTCAATGTGTTATAAGCTTCTGATTAATACTAATACACTGCAAAAAGGTATAAAAACAGACCATTTTTTTAATAATCGGTGTTTTTCGAACATCATAATTAAGCCAAAAATGCATTAAATACAAATCAGTATTTTTCAAACATCATAATTAAGCCAAAAATTCATCAATTTCAATTCGGAAAGCTGTTCTGTGTTATTTTTTAAAGCGCTAACAAATCTGCATACCACGTTTTGAAATTTAAAACATTCAGTTTTTGGTCGAATTTTGCGAATTTTAACGATGTAACCCCTTATCATTTTTACAATTTTCGAAAAAAATGCAAAAATGTGTTTGTCCACTAGACACGGATAGATCGATTCAGCTGTTCATTCCGATCAAGAATATATATGATTTATAGGGTCGGAAATGATTCCTTCGATGTGTTATAAGCTTCTGATTAATACTAATACACTGCAAAAAGGTATAAAAACAGACAATTTTTTTTAATAATCGGTGTTTTTCGAACATCATAATTAAACCAAAAATGCATTAAATTCAAATCGGAAAACTGTTCCGTGCTAGTTTTTATAGCGCTAACAAATCTGCATACTGCGTTTGTTGATGCTGTTAAAAGCTTATGATTAAAATTATAATTGTCAGGAAAGAGGTATAAAAACCTGCAATTTTTAAAAATAATCAGTATTTTTCAAACATCATAATTAAGCCAAAAATGCATCAATTTCAATTCGGAAAGCTGTTCTGTGTTATTTTTTAAAGCGCTAACAAATCTGCATACCACGTTTTGAAATTTAAAACATTCAGTTTTTGGTCGAATTTTGCGAATTTTAACGATGTAACCCCTTATCATTTTTACAATTTTCGAAAAAAATGCAAAAATGTGTTTGTCCACTAGACACGGATAGATCGATTCAGCTGTTCATTCCGATCAAGAATATATATGATTTATAGGGTCGGAAATGATTCCTTCGATGTGTTATAAGCTTCTGATTAATACTAATACACTGCAAAAAGGTATAAAAACAGACAATTTTTTTTAATAATCGGTGTTTTTCGAACATCATAATTAAGCCAAAAATGCATTAAATACAAATCGGAAAGCTGTTCTGTGCTAATTTTTATAGCGCTAACAAATCTGCATACTGCGTTTGTTGATGCTTTTAAAAGCTTCTGATTAAAAGTATAATTGTCAGAAAAGAGGTTTTTATAACCTGAAATTTTTTTTAAATAATCAGTATTTTTCAAACATCATAATTAAGCCAAAAATGCATCAATTTCAATTTGGAAAGCTGTTCTGTGTTATTTTTTAAAGCGCTAACAAATCTGCATACCACGTTTTGAAATTTAAAACATTCAGTTTTTGGTCGAATTTTGCGAATTTTAACGATGTAACCCCTTATCATTTTTACAATTTTCGAAAAAAATGCAAAAATGTGTTTGTCCACTAGACACGGACAGATCGATTCAGCTGTTCATTCCGATCAAGAATATATATGATTTATAGGGTCGGAAATGATTCCTTCAATGTGTTATAAGCTTCTGATTAACACTAATACACTGCAAAAAGGTATAAAAACAGACAATTTTTTTTAATAATCGTTGTTTTTCGAACATCATAATTAAGCCAAAAATGCATTAAATACAAATCGGAAAGCTGTTCTGTGCTAATTTTTATAGCGCTAACAAATCTGCATACTGCGTTTGTTGATGCTTTTAAAAGCTTCTGATTAAAAGTATAATTGTCAGAAAAGAGGTTTTTATAACCTGAAATTTTTTTTAAATAATCAGTATTTTTCAAACATCATAATTAAGCCAAAAATGCATCAATTTCAATTCGGAAAGCTGTTCTGTGTTATTTTTTAAAGCGCTAACAAATCTGCATACCACGTTTTGAAATTTAAAATATTCAGTTTTTGGTCGAATTTTGCGAATTTTAACGATGTAACCCCTTATCATTTTTACAATTTTCGAAAAAAATGCAAAAATGTGTTTGTCCACTAGACACGGATAGATCGATTCAGCTGTTCATTCCGATCAAGAATATATATGATATATAGGGTCGGAAATGATTCCTTCAATGTGTTATAAGCTTCTGATTAACACTAATACACTGCAAAAAGGTATAAAAACAGACAATTTTTTTAATAATCGGTGTTTTTCGAACATCATAATTAAGCCAAAAATGCATTAAATACAAATCGGAAAGCTTTTCTGTGCTAGTTTTTATAGCGCTAACAAATCTGCATACTGCGTTTGTTGATGCTTTTAAAAGCTTCTGATTAAAATTATAATTGTCAGAAAAGAGGTTTTTATAACCTGCAATTTTTTTATATAATCAGTATTTTTCAAACATCATAATTAAGCCAAAAATTCATCAATTTCAATTCGGAAAGCTGTTCTGTGTTATTTTTGAAAGCGCTAACAAATCTGCATACCACGTTTTGAAATTTAAAACATTCAGTTTTTAGTCGAATTTTGCGAATTTTAACGATGTAACCCCTTATCATTTTTACAATTTTCGAAAAAAATGCAAAAATGTGTTTGGCCACTAGACACGGATAGATCGATTCAGCTGTTCATTCCGATCAAGAATATATATGATTTATAGGTCGGAAATGATTCCTTCAATGTGTTATAAGCTTCTGATTAATACTAATACACTGCAAAAAGGTATAAAAACAGACCATTTTTTTTAATAATCGGTGTTTTTCGAACATCATAATTAAGCCAAAAATGCATTAAATACAAATCGGAAAGCTGTTCTGTGCTAATTTTTATAGCGCTAACAAATCTGCATACTGCGTTTGTTGATGCTTTTAAAAGCTTCTGATTAAAAGTATAATTGTCAGAAAAGAGGTTTTTATAACCTGAAATTTTTTTAAATAATCAGTATTTTTCAAACATCATAATTAAGCCAAAAATGCATCAATTTCAATTCGGAAAGCTGTTCTGTGTTATTTTTTAAAGCGCTAACAAATCTGCATACCACGTTTTGAAATTTAAAATATTCAGTTTTGGTCGAATTTTGCGAATTTTAACGATGTAACCCCTTATCATTTTTACAATTTTCGAAAAAAATGCAAAAATGTGTTTGTCCACTAGACACGGATAGATCGATTCAGCTGTTCATTCCGATCAAGAATATATATGATTTATAGGGTCGGAAATGATTCCTTCAATGTGTTATAAGCTTCTGATTAACACTAATACACTGCAAAAAGGTATAAAAACAGACAATTTTTTTAATAATCGGTGTTTTTCGAACATCATAATTAAGCCAAAAATGCATTAAATACAAATCGGAAAGCTTTTCTGTGCTAGTTTTTATAGCGCTAACAAATCTGCATACTGCGTTTGTTGATGCTTTTAAAAGCTTCTGATTAAAATTATAATTGTCAGAAAAGAGGTTTTTATAACCTGCAATTTTTTTATATAATCAGTATTTTTCAAACATCATAATTAAGCCAAAAATTCATCAATTTCAATTCGGAAAGCTGTTCTGTGTTATTTTTGAAAGCGCTAACAAATCTGCATACCACGTTTTGAAATTTAAAACATTCAGTTTTTAGTCGAATTTTGCGAATTTTAACGATGTAACCCCTTATCATTTTTACAATTTTCGAAAAAAATGCAAAAATGTGTTTGGCCACTAGACACGGATAGATCGATTCAGCTGTTCATTCCGATCA